AAAAAAAACAATAAAAAAAAAACAAAAAAAAAAAAAAAAAAAAAAAAAAAAAAAAAAACCCCACATTAAAAAAAAAAAAAAAAAAAAAAAAAAAAAAGGAAATAAAATATAGGCCTACTAGGGCGTAACCGGGTGCTGTTTTTAAACCGGGTCCGGGTATATTGAGAAATTACTCGGTGGATCCAAGTGTTACAAAAATAGTTAACCTCTCATTTTCTATATATAAAAAAACAATAGGCATGCAACTACAAATACAAATGTCCTACAACATACTTGCCGGCCTTTCAACAATAGGCCTACGGAAAGTCCAACCACCTACCCGCCGGCCTTTAACAATAGTCCAAGAGACAGTCCTACACGCCTACACCCTAACCGTGGCTCTTTATTAATATAATAATAGTCGCCTCCGGAAAAAAAACAAAAAAAACAACCGTCACGCATGACGCTCGCTGTGTGACAGATTTGTTTCCCCATTCAGACCAATTAATATAAAACATGTTGAGCAGGAAAGGGTGTGTGTGTGTGTGTGTGTGTGAAGGCGGTTGTGAAAAGGACGCAGGACACATCAGAAACAACATTGGCCTTTAAGAGATATCCTCCATAACTGCCGAGTTGTATGGCTAAAAAAAAAAAAGTGTGGCGTCTCCCGCGAACTTAATGTTATTTGTTTCTACTCAGTTGGAGTAGTTGGAGATCAGGAAGTTGGGTTTAACACTAAGATGCAAGATTTCACCACACACACAAACTAACAAACGAACAGAGTAACATAAGAAAAAGTCATCGGACATCATTTTATTTAAAGTGCGCCCCACCCCTTTTTAGCCAAATGACTTAAACAGCTCTGAAGTTGGGGGGACATATATATTTGTACTGTTTAGTATATTTTTTGAAAAAGCATGTTATAAAAAAAAAATTATATTGTTTTATTTTGTACTTTTAGTCAGAGTGCACAAAGTTTCAGTGTAATAAAGACACTACTTCTTAAAATTGTTCAATTGATAGGCCTTGATCTACATACAGATATTATTTTAAAAAAAAAAAACTTATTTCACATATAATTGTATGGCTTTCTCTCTTTGTTATGCACGCCCTCACCCTTCCCCACACCACCAGCATTGGTTCACTGACTTAATATATGTGTGTGTGTGATTATGTCTATTTTCTTTCATTGGAAACTTTTTCACATTTTGCTTTGGACTCCTTTCTTAAATTTATTGTTTGAAGTATCACCTACAAATGTACCATATTTAATGTTATATATTATGTACTATTTTTAACAACAGTAAAAACAGTCAAAAAAGAAAGAATAGTGGGCAGGAAAGTGTGGGCAGGCGAAAAGGGTGGTCAGGTGAAGTTGGTCTAGACAATATGGAGAATGTGTTCCAACATTGTCCATAGAAGTGAATTTCCCAGCTATCACATATTTCAATGAGTATATTCCATTACAATAGATGGAAGAAGATTAAGGCCTATTTGTTTTAAAAAGTTCAGTGCTCCATTATAAAATGGATTTTCCCGGTGGCCCCTAACAAAGCGTCCCACCAATAAATACTTTTTTAAAGTTACAAAATAAGTGCAAATTGGCCCCTCTGACTGATAATAGAATAAGTCAGGACCAAATGATTGGAGCGCCTAACCATTTAGCTGAAGAACACTACCCCCTCACTAGGCGAACAATTTCAAATACTTTTTTTAGGATATAAGCAACAAATATATTTTGTTATTCACAGGTTAACAATTATGTCGCCATGTAAGTTCTCATGGCTTTCAACTTCGAAATTGACCAGTATTAAAATAAAACAAAGAAACTATAAATTAAGTAATCCGTTCTGCTTAATTAAATTTAGTATTTTCCATGTATAATATATTTAGAATAAAATTTATGTCATCTCAATCTGAGTTTCCCAATCTTTTTTTGTGGTCCACACTTTTGATGAATTTTGTTAATAGTCTCGTACTCCTTATGTTGAAGAATTTTTATTAAATATACACACATTTATGTCATAGCTGAAAAGTCTAATGGCTACTTTTTTTTTTATTAAATCACTATTCCCTGCATCCCAGAACGACCATCTCACACACCCCCTAGCTAGGGGTGGGAGCACCCCCAGCTAGTAAACCCTGATCCAAATAAACAATAATTTTTGAATTGTAATGAAGTAATGTACGGATGACTTACTTATTTGTTGAAGTCATATTCATTCAAGATCATCCAATCTTGCTTGTTATTATTCTTGGCCTCACCTACCTGTGCAATGAATCCTTAACTTTGGAGAAAGACATGTTCTCAGCTAGAATTAAATAAATGAATTTGTGTTTTTCCCCTTTGTGAAGCTCTTTTTAAATTAACAAGTCTGCAAGGTCACCTTATGTTTGTATTTAAAAACACTTGAAAAGCAGTAATTTTTTTTTTTTTGGTACATTTATTTTAAAAATAATATCAGATAAATTAATCATCATTTTTGTGAAAGTGACATTACAATATCGAGATCCACCCTGCTGCTCAAAATGAAATCAAAACAGTAGAAGCAATGCAGCTAGATTTGAGAGGTAACATAAAGTAAAGCACACATAAATTTTTCAAAATAATTTTAAAAATCATGCAGACCCTGTGCTAAAAAAAATCTATTTTTATAAAAAACAATGTATATAAATATAAAAAGATATGTATTCTCAACACATTCTTGAGAATAATACTCCAAATAAAGGTTTAAAAAAACTTCAGAACTATGGCGGTTACAATTATCCGAAGTTGTAAAAATCTATTTACAAAAAACTGACTTAAGAAACAACAATACAATAATATTATCTAGTACAATTAAACTAAACATAAGCATGGCCAATATCATTGAGACAAATGCTACAATAATCTATAATCTATTGAAAATTATTATTATTACTGCTAATAAATTAACATCATAGCAAATGGAACTACGACAATCAGACACAGATAAATAAATGCAGTCCATAAATATTAACTGTCATAATATGTGTAGCAAAGGCTGCAAATCACTATCTGATTTTGCCATAAAATAATAGGACAATTACAGTGCCATAGGGGAAAAACAATTTCACCCTAAATTAATTGTTTTAATTATTTAACATCAACTTCCTGTTCAATAATAGTGTGCAAAAACATTATGCTAAAAAACTACACCACCATATATTTGTTGTATTTGTCATATACAATGTGGTACATGTTAAGTTAAAAGAATGAAAATATGTGGCAGAAACTGAAAAGAAATTTAGTGTAAAAAGAAATTTGACAAGATTTTAAGTCTAAAAAAAAAAGAAATGATGCTACTTGAAAACTAAAAAAAGTAAATTGAGCAAAAAGTTTTATTACACCATGAAACGCCTGTTTCAAATGAAAAATAACTCACAAATGTATTAATTGTTGTAGAAATAAATCTTTAAGCTATTAAAAATTATAATATTAAAAAACAATGAGGTATTATTTATATTTTTTTATTTTTTGTAGGACATTCATAATATGATTGATTTACTTTTAAAGATTTAAAACACAAATATATAAAATTGTAATTTTATTCTCAAAGTAGAATCCTCATTGACACAATTGTTAGCTGTAAATTGATTAATGTATTTTTTTTATTTTTCAGTTATTTTTCTTGACGGTTGTCTTGTAATAACATCAAAATTAACAAATGTTTTTATTACCTAAAAAAATTAGGGAGCAATTACGGAAGCATTTTTGTGATACATAAACAAATGCACTTAAAATAAGAATTAATATTTTTAACTGACATCTTTTGTTATTGTAAAAGAATATTTTGATATGTGACTCCCAGCCTCCTCTATTTATAGTGATGAGATGAGCTTAGTTCATAAATACTATAATAAAGTATGTATGTGGAAGCAATATTTAAAACAACTGAATTTATAAGGCCACAACATATGTGTTACATAGCGATTAAACCAATTTAATTTACAAATTAATGTTTGAAATACAAAAGAAAGATATAAATAAATAGATAAGAATTTTTAAAAAAAAAGGGTTTCGGACAAGCCCAGGTAAACATTGTGCAGACAAATAAAATATCATACTTTCAAAACAATTGGTTTATTAAGTAAAATTAACAAGCAAAAAACTCCACTAACATGGTTTTAAGAGATTCAAAATCATAACAAGATTAACAACTTTGCAAAGAGTAAAAATGACATCATGCTAGGTGGTTTTCTATTTCATAAATACAGACTAATAGTGCCACATATTTTAATAATTTTTAAGAATTTGCTTTCCATATGGAAAAGGTAATTTCCTAGTATGGCTAAAAACATTTTTGATCTCCTCAAACAAGAGGTGCTTTCTTGTGTTACGTCAGAGTTACTGAAGAAAAAAATGTAAAGTTAGTGTTGTCCCCAGTAGTGTTTGCTTTATCTTGTCAAAAGTCTATTAAAATTGTAATTTTTTTAAACAAAGTCCTTTCTCTTTATTATTAGGGCTCCATGATAAAAGAAATTTGTTGGTTGATTTACTAGGAAACAAGATAATACTTATAATCATAATTTTAAAAAAACAAAAACTGACCAATCCTACAAGCAGATTTCATAGATGAAAACCTTTAAAACAGAACTACACTTAAATTGATTCCTGTAGCAAAATAGAATTGTTAACAATTATTGATTATTTAATGTGGGAAAAAATATGACTCGCCAACTCCAATATTTAAACTACCCATTTATGTTCCACAAGTGCAATCCCCAATTATTTGCCCATGATCTAGACAAAATGATCGACTACAAGCACCTCGGATATGATTTCACGCACTCAAAAGGAACATTTATGTAGATTTCTATTTTTCCATTTTAAAATTATTTTTTCTTTCAATTAGCCATTCACATGGAACCCTGCCCACACCTGATTAAGGCTTCAAAAATTGGTTCAATACATAAATTCAGATTATTGTGCACTTGACTGAATACATACAACAACAAAACAAAAAAAACAAAAAAAACAAAAAAAAAAAAAAAAAAAAAAAAAAAAAAAAAAAACCACCTTTTCTTACTTTAGTCAACAACATTTACATTATGCACAGTGATAATGTTGTACAAAATACTAACATTGAGGCATTTTATGTTCAAACAAAAACAAATTGCATCTACATGCTAAAAATCAGCAAGCTATTTTTTTATATTAACGCTAACAATGTATTTGACAAGAAAATCAATTTAAATAAATTATTTACAATCTCAAATGATGACTAGATAAATCATGTAACAATTTGGTAAATGTAAAATGTTTTAAAACTAAATGGCGGTTAACAAAAAGTCTTGCAAAAATAATCATCATTTTTAAACTACTGGTAATGTTCCAATTTTAAAGCAATTATTCCCATTTCCATACAAACATAAACCATTTTTAAAATATGGAAAAACTTATAATCCTCAAATCATCTGATGTTCTAGATAGGCTTATGATTTTTACTGGACAAGCACAATCAATAAACATATGGGCATTTGATAACCATAATTATCATACACATAATTTGATTATCATTTTGATAATGATAAGGTGGTATAAAGGTGTGACCATTAAGTTCTTTGGTTATACATAATAACAGGCTGAAAATAATTAAAATTAGTTTACACATGCTAAATTCAAGCTACAAAAATATGTCATCTGAACTTAAATAATGTACACCTTGTATTTTTATTTTATAAATGTTCAAAATTTTAAAAAATTGATTTCGAGCTTCTTTTGGTAGGTTTAATTATTAGTGTTTTGAATACAAAGTTTAACTTTTGTAATACCTAGTGACTTATTTTGTAAATTAAAAAAACAACAACTAGAAATTAGTAAAGTAATCCTTGCCACAGCTGGCTAAGATACTTTTTTATTTTCTGTAATAAGAGATTGCACTTCATCCAGGCTATTGTTGGAGGTGCTTCCTGCCTTGCCCTGCACAGCAACACTAATCGGCCGCTTAGCCTTTCGTGACCACGATTTCTTGTCCGAGAAATGTGCTGGAATTTCTTCTAAACTGCGGTCAATACAAGGGGTTCCATTGTCACAAGAGTCATCTTTCAAAGGCCGACTGGCCGGTAATGGACCTGTGAGGGGAGTGCTAGGTGTTGCACTGGATTGTAAGGGAGATCTTTCAAATGAACCAGCATTGATGCGAGGCAAATTTTCCAAAAGTCTGTTTAATTCTTGTTGAATGCCTTCAATCTCTCGTCCATCCTCAACTAACTGGCCCGCTGGCACTAGCTGAATTCTATTTGGGCCTGTCCGTATGACAGCGCTGTAGCTGGGGGGAGAAGCAGAGTGTGACCTCGAGAGAGATTCTGACCTTGAATGGGATTCAGAACGGGAAGGGCCATCAATACTAAACCTTTCGTGGTCTTGCTCGCTGCCATATCCAGAACTTTTTTCATAACCGTTCTTAGAATTTCCTGTCCCAGTAAAAGAACTGTTATCTCCGTTTAAACTTCCATGTGAAGTGTTATTGCTGTCCCTGCTTACTGTAGAGCCAGGGGTGTGCCCAAGACCAAAAATATTGCGTATGTTTATGGGGTGCATGGGTGGAGGCATGTCTATAGATGTGGGATCTTCATGGGATCTTGGAACAAGTCTTGGCCGATATCCCACATTAAGATCATTATGATTGTATAAATACTGATCTCGGCTAGCAGCACGGGGGTCTGGACCAGCCGATTTGTAGTGGCTTCGACTGACACTACCATCTTCATTAGTGTCATTTTTGGTTACAGACTCGTTTCTCTTTAATAAATATTGACTAAGATTCCCAAAGCTTGGCCCTGAAGTGTGCTGTGTAGAGGTACTAGTGACAGACGTGGGACTGTGATCGGAGTGTGATGTTCTGTTGAACATTCTGTCTGGCTCCGTCTCACTACTGCGAACATCTTCAGATGTGCAGGTGGATGGCGACAGCTGCAGGTTGGGAGGGTCATCAGGTGATGGAGACAAATCAATGGTAGCCTTACCGTTGAGCTGCTGCATGTAGTCTGAAAGATTTCTCAGTTTTATTATCCTGGACTGAGGCGGAGACAGCGTTTGAGGTGGGAGTGCAGTGCGCCAGGTTGGCATCTGCTGCTGGGGCAACAAATGGATATGTTGTCCATAAGGGTTTTCATAGTCGTACTGAGACATCCCGGACTCAAACTGTGGTGGCCTACGCATGGCTGCTGGTGATGGATAGTAATCAGGTAGTGGAAACTGTGGGGGTGGGGGCTGGGGCGGTGGCGGTATGACGAAATCAAAACTTGCAGACTCTTGAAGATGATCCATGTTTTCAGTGGAATCGTCTCGAAAAATATTGCAGATCTCTTCAGCCTCTGCATCCTCATCCTCATCGTACATGTACGGGCCAACGCTGTCCTGGTCCCCATGTGAACCACCGTTGGAATCACTGCTGGTTCTGTGCTCCATGGAAGCAAGTCTTGCCGAGGAGTTCTTTAATATTCCTTTCTCTGGCATGATGCTGTCAGGGTCCATCACGATGATGGGCGGGGGCGGCAGTTCACTCATTTCACTTTCGTCCTCACTGTAAAGCCTTTTCTTCTTTCTGCCCCAACCTTTTCTGCCTCTGTTGAACATTATAAAGATGAGACAAGTTTATTTTAAACTGATAAGAGAAATGTATATGATAAATGAATTTTTTTTTTACTACCAGTAAGCCTTAAACTTTTTAGTCAAAACATTTTACCTGCTTTTCTTCCCATTTCCTTGTGTTCCAGTGATCATAACATTTTTGGTTGGACTTCTTCTTCTAAAAGAAATGTAATAGTAATAGTTATTTAGTATTGCAATAATCACTATAAAAATTCCGAATTTCATTAATGCATTTTTAGTAAGTAAAGTTGTTTACCATTTAGTTAACAAACAGATGAAAGATGCGATTTTCCACCTTTTAACTTAATTCTGTACTAAATAATGATAGTTTAAATTTAAACTATAAAATTGTGTATAGGTACTTCTAAAAAAGAATATATTTTGCTCTAATAACTGTTTTCAGCAAATATTTCATGTTCAAACTACTTTGTTGTTTTAAATTATGTCATACAAATTGAACATGAAAAATTTAATAACAAATGCATAAAAGCCCCAGTGATGGGTCAAATTGCCCTAAAGTGCTTATTTTTAAATTAAAATGTCATAACAATAAAAGTTAAAAAGTAACAAGCAAGGTATTACCTGTAACAAATAAGGGTGACTCCCATAGCAAGAAATAAGCCACCAATTACAGTAGCTAAAATAGTAATAAGCAAAGTTGTGCTGATACCACCATCATCTGTGTGAAGGAAAGAAAACAATGTAGGTAAAGAATGTTCACATTATTGTTTTAAAACTATTTGAATGATTTTATTTTTGCTTGGATCAGAGCAATACCTATTTGGAATGTTGTAGAATATTCATTATTAAAGTTAATTAACATTAACTACAGAAGAAGGGTAATAAAGCCAAAACTAAAAATTAAGGGTATTTACTTTCTGCAATGGGGGCAGTTGCTGGAGTGTTGGTGTCTGCCAAAAGATTACTCTCAGCCAGGACTGGTTCACGTTCACTCAGAGCATTGGCTTTCATCTCTTTTGTTGTAGTCGAGGGCACAGAGGTTGTAAGTTCTGAAGCAACTATAGACTTTTTGTCCACAAGGGTGATGTTCAGTTTAACGGAGCAGTCATCACCATCCCAACCAGGTTCACAGAAACAATGATCATTTGGGGCACAAACCTAAGCATTTGCAAAAAAAAAAAAAAAAATTGTTTTAGATGCTTTGAAAGAACTTTTTAAATGACCCATCACGTTATATGGGTGATGTTCAGTTTAACGGAGCAGTCATCACCATCCCAACCAGGTTCACAGAAACAATGATCATTTGGGGCAAAAACCTAAGCATTTGCAAAAAAAAAAAAAAAAATTGTTTTAGATGCTTTGAAAGAACTTTTTAAATGACCCATCACGTTATAAAAGCAGACAAATAAATAGTGACAGCCATAACTTAACAAGTGATGTGGAAAATATAATAAAAAAATCCAAACCCATTAGTATTCAGTGCATTTTTGTTTCACCTACCCCATGGTTAGAACAGATTAAAGCCAAATCCGTGGAGGGGCAGTTAAGAGTGGGTATACTTGGGAGATGAAAACAAGAATTTCTTAAACAAATTTTATTGTGGCCACACTTTGTGCCATCTTGCACCATTCCCATGTGAGGCATGTCCATCATTGCTGGCCCATGTACAGTTCTAAGAAGAACAGATTAAAAATGGTAAGTCTTTTGAGTTTTGTTTTTATTTAGCAACAATCGAATTTATTTGAAAAATTATCCAGCCATAATTAGATCATGTGATCAAATTTTGTACAAAAAAAATTAAATTTATAACTGTCCAAATGAATTGAATGCATCAATTAATACAATTAATACAATTAATAATGATCTCTCCAAACAATTCAAACAATTTATAATTTATATAAAGAGGGACAGATTAATCCCATTAAAAAAAAATAAATATGGCAGTCAAGCAGAAAAGAAACTGAAACCAGCCAACAGCTATTTGTAAGTAGTTTTAAAGTGATGTCTACCAGTATCTATTGGCTCTTAGGCATTAGGTATTAAAAAAAGGTTGATTAAGTTGCAGAACTTACTTGCATTCATACTCAATGCTATTGGCATTTACATTAGTTGTAGAAAAACCTTTATCAGACCCATACATTGGTGATGGATTTCCACCTTCACAATGGAGCAATCCACAGAGGATATCACTAGTTCAAAAATATATGATAATGAAACAATTGAAAATGTATGTAAGCATATAACCTTAGGATTCTTTCAGTTTGTGAATGCCATCTAAAAAAATATGAGTACCTAAAGTAAGCTAAAGGATATTTAATTAATAAATAATAATACAGTTAAAGATGTGATTTCAAGAGGACAAAAACAAAAATAACTGTAAATATAGGTCAAAAAAGGTTTTTAAAATGGGAAACCATTTGTTCGGTAAAAAAAATACATTGAGATTATCAGAAAATTTCTACAGAAATTGTTAAATTCTATGCTCTAAAAACAAAACCAAGTAAGGTCCAAAACTCATAAAATTGCGATAAAAATTGTAACTCATTATGAAGAATTCATAACAATGCAATAAAATTCCAAACAACCTCCGGACTTACTCATTTTGGCACTTGGCATAGTTACCAGTCACTTTGTCTTTACCACAGTGCCCATTAAAATTGCCAGTTGGATTGAAGCGCTGAAAGCATTGGTCGTGACCACCTTTAGCACCTAAAATTTTGAAAATGTTAAAATAAAAGAATTATTAGTTGTTATGTTGCTGTTAATAATTGATTTTCTAAGTTGAATCTTAACTTCTGTAAACATTTATACTTATATCATGACTAAGAAATTCAACAGTTTGTTTACACATAAGAGGGAAAGTCATAGAGAATTTACCAGCTCCCCAAATCCCTTGGCATTGTCTGTGCACTGTCGGGCATATGCCACCCATACAATAGCCAGTTCCCTCTGCACATGGATGGCCATCCTCAATATAAGTGTTGAATGGACACTGGAAAGAGGGAAGCAAATTAACAACCAAGTTTTTAAAGATGACATATATATTTATTTAGCTTCAGTAGAAAATTTATAAAACTTAATATCCCTCAGCTTTTTACCTTAAGATAGATAATCATTTATAATTCTTAATATATGAATAAATAAGGCGGATGAATTAAAGTAAACTTGCATTTCCAGACTGGCCATCACAAAATTCTGGCACGTCACATTCTGACTGGCGGGGTCGACACAAATGAGTTGGAGATAAAAACTGAAATTTGAAGAGGAAAAAATTAAATGCAGCTTTCATTCTTAACATAAAATAAGAAGCAAACTAACTTTAAAAAAAAGGTTTACATTTCTAAACATATGAAATTCTAATGCTTTACCCAAAATGTGCAAAACAAAAAAACATAAAGAAAACTGCTGACATACTGAGCAATTGTTACAACACGGTCCTGATCTACACTGTGCCCAAGGCTGAAGGAGACAGGTGGTAGGATCACAGCAAGGATCTTTTCTCTCACATTCCTAAACACAAAAGAAATTGTAAATTGATTTCACTTTCAGATACTTACTGCAGAGGTAAATAATAGGTAAGGAAAACCCTCAATTTCTATTATTATTAATTATATGTAGTATCATTTATCATAAAGCCATCTATTTCTAAGAAAAAATTCTTACCTCTGGAATACCACAATCGCACTCTTCTCCCCTCTCAATAATGTTGTTTCCACAGGTTTGTTTAAATTCAGTCTGTTGGGGAAAAGGTCAAACTTATTTTAAGTACTTCATCAAAAGAACTTCTTTTAGTCCTAACAAATAACAATACAATTATTTTATTCTACATCTGTCAAATGACATGAGATACTTTTCCGTAAATACTCACTGGCACTTTAGGTGCACCCCACAAGCATGATGTAATGCCCATGTTAAGACTAGCATCCAGATCAGATGTACTGCAAGATGAAAATAATCTAGAATGGACACCTCCAGCTCCCCTAAGAGGAAAAATTAATTTTTTAAGAAAAAGCAAGCTCAGGCAGTCAAATTTGTTGAAATTGTTTACAGGAATAAGGCAAATGTAAAGAAACTTAAAATAATAATGTAAATTATGAATAAAGAACTTACAGAACTTCTGTTGACATAATGCAGCCCAATTCATCTTTGCAATAACAGCCTCCTAAAGAAAAAAAAATCAAAAAATTTTCTTCTTTAGGTCAACTGAATCAATATAAGCATTATAAATAATTTAGTGTAATTCTTAGAAATTTTAATTTTCATCCAATTTATTTAAGTGTTGCCAATCTTCATCTTAAACATACCTAAATTACAAAAACTACGCTTAATTTGATAACAAAAGTTCAAGAAATATTTGAAGCCATAGCTTAAAAAAGATGCTACTGTGACTATTTAAGTGAATTCAAAATTAAATTTAATTTAACCTCTTAAGTTAATATGTTAACATTAATTAAAATAAATCCATAATATAACCGTAAGGTGGACATAACTGTACTGTTGAAAAAAAAGCACTTAAGTCTCAAATTCAAATCACATTATAACAGCAAAAGAAAAACATGTGCAAAATACTAGTGCATGAAAATTGTCTGTATATAATTTTGACTTTTTAAAGAGCCATGCTGTGACATGAACAGAAAATCTGAAAAGCTGTAGAAAATAAATAAAATAATCCAAGACTTTCAAAATAAAATAAAATTACGTGAATAAATAAAATGACATTCTAAGAGTAATTTTTAAAATATACTTCAATTCTAAATTTAGTTAAATTATCAAATTGGAAAATATCCTTACTGAAATACCAGACCAGTTTTTGTGAACTTAACTTTTAATTTTCCCACGTCCTTACCAAACAATTATAATGAAAGCATAAGCAATGGGAAAATTGAGCTAAAACTTTTTCAAAGCCATACATTTACTGCTTGCTGTGCAATGTACTTATTTTATGCAACACTTTCTATCCAGCATTAATTAAAATTAATACACAAAATCCCCATACTTTCCCCTGGTCTTTATTTAAAAGGAATATATTTAACATTAACAATCGAAAAGTTCCATTTGATGATTACTAAGAAGAATCCTCCGAAAATTGAGACAAATGTTCCAAATTCATTTACAACATAATTTTTAAAAAATCACAATATCAAAACAGAATATTGTACCTTCATGATAAAGTTCTCTCCATACAGCTGCATGCATTAAATAAAAGAATTAAAATGTGACAATAGAGTAAATCCCACATAATCAACAGCCGTTGAGAGTGTTAATAAATGTCATTTAGGTGGTGCTTTGTAACTATCTAATCACACTGATTCTTAAAAAGATGAATCAGTGTCTATGCAGCTGACTTTCTAGAAGGCTTTTTAAAATTTATAAATCATAATTCTCAGTGCAATAATATGTTATATCATGTTGAAATTAAATTTGTGTAAAAAATAAAAACAGCAACTTATTTCTAGGCAGCTTTAGTCTACTCAGTTTATATCTCTAAACTACAACAATAAAAGGCTACTGACCTTCTTCGTCATGTTTGATACCAAGAATGTGGCCAGCCATGTGTGACAAAATTGTGGCTGTCTGCTGAGGTTCAAAGGGACGACCACTCTGTCAAATATATATCAATGGACCCATAAATTTAAAAAAAAATTGCTGAACTATTCAACACATGAAACTTTATCAGCAGAATATTTTATAATTCAGTTAGACTAAAATAACCAGATAGATACCTTTACGACGGCCACAGCTCTCCCTGAACATATAGAGTCTGGTATTGCTATCCCAACCTTGTGACCTTCCAGTTCCACACCACTGGTGAATGTTAGAAAATAAGTTATTCCATATGTTTGTATGATATAACAATAATGTCATTAAATGATACACTGAATTGTGATATTTGTTATTAAAATTCTATCGGCTATTTAATGCTAGAAATATTGAACAAGATTTTTTTAAAGTTTTAATTTTTGAAGGTGTTTCACAAGCCCAGAAATTCTTCAGGTCCTCTAATAAACCAACCAGGAAATTAGGCAGCTGCACAAATAGAATATGTCTGCGGTTTCTTTCTTACATTTGTCATAATATATTGAAACAGAGGATGTTGCCACAAAGTTAATATTGGCTTCTGTGTTTTATGTGGTTCTGCATTCAATTTTATGAAGATATTTCCCAATTATGAAAGTCTCTTTACGTCTTATATTGAAGCCAGGGGCCAATATTTGTATTGTAAGGCTCAGCTGTATAGGGCAAAATTAAAATCGTTTCAGGCAGAGTTTTGATGGTTCAAAGACTTTTATAATAGACTGGGCATCTATTAGGCTTTCAGAAAAGTTCTTGCATTCCATACTGTAAGGCCTTAAGAATGAAAGACTAGCAATAGTGCACAAAGAAGTATATATATATATATATATATGTAAGGTTTTGTTAATTGAGTCGTAGATTGTAGAAACTATATGAGGTATTGTTCAGTATACATTGTACTTACGTTACAAAAAAAGCAGCATCAAAGATGTTGTCTTTAGGAAGTTTTTCTTTAAAGTGGAGGAAATTGCTTAGCAAGGCTCTGTGATGTTTATCAACACTGAACATATTTTTAAGATTCCAGAATTCCAGGTAGGTCAGCGCTATTTCAAATCCAATTTCTTTAAAGTACTGCAACACAGGATAAAAATAATAATAGAACTATAGGTGCATAATTGGTACTTCTTTTATGGTTTTAAAATGAAATACTGAAAAAAAAAATCATCTAAGACATGTACTTATAGTAAACAATGATAAATCATTTAGTACTAACCAGATCAGCAATATTTGCCACTTCCACTGCATACTGTATAACATGTTGTTGGCTGAATTCTAATCCCATGTACTAAAAAGATAGAAGAAAAGAAGATTTAAAAAAAACCCATCATATTCTGTTTGTTTTATTACAAAGAAAAAATATTTTCACAAAAAGTAAAGAAATAAATAAAAAACATATTTCTTTATATAGAAGACTTTAATCCTTTGGCCTAATTAAAAATTAACAGACAAAAATATAAAAGACAACCAAAAAAAAATATAAAAATTTACCATTGATTTGTCTAGCACCATTGCTATTCTTAAAAGCTTCTTCTGCTTCTCTTCACCACTCTGACTCTGAGTCTGTTTAAAAAATTAATTCAAATTAATCATAAGAAACAAGAATCCTTAAATTTTACCCTTACTAAGTTTCAGTGGTGTTTCTGTTTAGGAAAATCTTATTAAACTAGTCATCCACAAGTTAATATTTGAAAGATAGCCAGATCTGTTGGTAGGCTTTTCAATATCGCCCACCTTCCTGCAAAGACCAAGGTAAAAAAAGATGCTAATTCCTGAACGGCTGTTTGCTTACAATGCTGTCTTAACAGAAGGAGGACTGCAGCGGTTACTTAACCACCTCTGCCAGTATGTAAAGAATTTGGTCTGACCATTAGTCTATAGAAAACAAATGTCATGATGCAAGAAACATAGTCCCCTCCAAACATATCTATTTA